TTTTACAACCGACACGTGGCCTCGGTCTGATATGTACCTCGGTCGGCATACCTCCCTCGGTCCCCGAGATGAGCCTTTCCTCGGTGCCGAGAGGTACCCCGTCCTGGACGCCTCCTCTACTCCAGGATAAGCTATTGACGTACAGGTCATTAGCCTAGGCTAGTCTAGGCTATTCATCATGACCTCGTCTTACACAAGTAATGTCAGAACGTACTGGAATACAGAGGTCACAGCCAATAGGGGATGGACGCGTGGCATATGATATCACATCAAAGACAGACAAACCGCATGCCGTTGCTGACACGCGACTTGGGAAAGCAAACAATTAATTGCACCATTCCCTTGATGAGACCACATTCAATGCGGTAAGGCTCGGAAATGAAAGACAATAAATGCTCCTGTCACAGAGCATTTATTGCATCCTCCCCGAGAGGAGCACATTGTGCCGTCGGCATCCCGACGACCCAGTATTGATTGCTCGGGACCCCGAGCAGTTAATTAGAGAAGACATTCCTCATCAGAATCAAATGTACACGCTACCTGTGCCTAATGATCACCTACTGACCGCACTGACAGCAATCATGAGCTTTTAAGGTATAAATACTCCTTGCAAAAGGTAGAGCTGGTATGCAACAAAAAGCTCTCTACTACAATATACACTGCACACCCAGTGTTTTCTCTATTCTCTCTCTCTCTCAAAAACTGACTAGATCGTCGGAGGGGATACGCCGGAAAACACNATATCAAGTACTATTGGCGCACGAATGTCCTCGCCCCCGAGGTACCGTCATATAGGATTATACATCCAGTATGTTTTACAACCGACACATGTTCTCGATCAAGATATGTACCTCGGTCGGAAACCTCCCTCGGTCACCNGGAATCTCTTTCAGCCTTACAGGATCGTTCCTCCTTTCCCAGGATCTCCCGTTGCCGTTCCGGGTTACTACCGTACCTTGCAGGTTGTTCCAAGCAGCGTGCTTGTTCACTCAACCGGCCCACCCGAAGTTCACCACGGAAGATATCTGTTCTCGTTTTTTATATTGTGCAGGATCTTGCACGCACATTTACATCTTTATGTTTTATCTTTGTCCTTGGTCTTGTGAGATGCTCCTAGGCATGAATTACATAATTCAACATGAAAAAATTAAGCTTGTTTACATCTTTACGTTTTCTTTTTGTCATTGGTCTTGTGAGATGCTCCTAGGCATGAATCACATAGTTCAACATCAACTGACTAAGCTTGTTTACATCCTTATGTTCTATGTTCTTCACTTTGGTCCGAAACCTAGCCAATACAAATTTTACTTTAGAGGAGTGATGAAGATGGAATCTTCTAGATATAATCATCAATTTGGTCAAAAAATTAGACCAACAAAGAACCATACGACAAGAACCATTCGAGGAAAGGAACCTGAGTTGGTCCAGTACAACCACAAGGAGAATCATTTAGGTTGCCCGCAGAAATCCAGAAGAGGATTAATTGTATTGTTGAGGGGAGTCTTTATTATTTTTATTGTTGCATTATGTAGTGGGATTATTTAATATCATCTGTAATACATCCACTTGGATATGAATGTTTTAAAAGAGTTCTTCCTATCTTCAATAATCTCTTCCATTATATTTTTTAGCGAGTGTGTGATAATCCTATAGATTCCAACAGCTTTACCGTCGTAGTATTACAAACTTGACTATAGTATCATCAAAAAAATTTCAGTATCAAACTTCAAAAATTTATTATTTCCAAGGGTGTTTTTAAAATTTTTGTAGTTCATTTTATTATCAAAAAATCTATCACTTTTGTATGTGTTTTTAACACTGGTGTGGATATTTTTATAATATTTGTGGTAATTATTTTTATCACTTTTCTTCGATACAAAAAAAAAAATTACCTATTTTGTGGGTGATTTATAATATTTGTGAGTATTTTTACCATATTTGTGAATGTTTTTATCATTTTTTTAGATACTACAATAGTGATAAAAACACCTACAAATATAATAAAAATAACTACAAATATAATAAATAGAGATATGATATTGAATTTTTTTTTGATACTATAGTCAACTCCTAGTATTACATAAGGAATGGTACATGTGGTTCATGTTTTGGATTCTTGGTTGATAATAACAACACTTTATCAGAAAAACCGTTATTATGAATTCTAAAGCTAGTTATAGAAAATACTAACACAATCAAATATATTAAAAATACAGTTACAAATTAATCACATATCATATTATTCGAAAATATTTATTTAAAATAAAAAGTAATAAGATGGACACTATGAAACATACTGCATAATATTCATGACCTCCATGAATCAATTGGACCATTCGGTACCATGCTGAAAACGAGTGTGACCAAACAGATGTCTGATTGAACCCAAGGTTGGATTGTAGTCCATTTCTTTTTCGACATAAGTGTTCTTCTTAAAACAACCACAAATTTTTTACCAAAAATGAAAAACGGTTAATGTGTTAGAGAGAGAGAGAGAGAGAGAGACCCACTTTTATTTGCACAGAGCCGTAGCCTGAGCAAAGCAATGGGATACTGTAACAAAGTCAGACATTAGCAGATTTTCTTAAAAAGTGTTAACCCTGTGTTATCATATCGTGTTGTGTTATTTTTGTATCAAATCACTTTGAATATATGTAAGATTTGTGTCAATAAAAAATTATTTAATTTTATAACAATTCATATAATGTTATTTAAAAAATTAAAAAAAATTATTTTTATCTAGAATATTCGTTAAATATTTATTTTTTATTTGCAGTACCCGTTAATCGTGTTATTTGTATCAAACCTTAATTTAATTCATTTATTATTCGTGTCAACTAATTATGTTATTTTTGAATTTTTAGTTGAATCGAGTTCAAATTAATAGGTAAAATTGACAACCCTAGATTGTCATGCCTTTGAGGAAACAATTGGATAATTAGACATTTCGGAAAATAAAGTAACGGTATCAAGCCTGGATAAATAAATTGAGTCTGGTTTATTCTTAGTGAATTTGAGTGAATAACAAGTAAACTCGTCAAACTAGTCAAGTAAATGAATTAATACGACCCTTATTAAATAGGAATTAGGCATGATATGATGAGTTAACCATAAAAAAGTTTGAGATAAATAAACTAAAACAAGAAAATGATTAAATGGGTCATCCCAAAATAACGAGTTTTGAGTCCTGTTGCTTAACGACTTTCAACCCCTCCTCAAATAAGAACATGTGTATGTGGAACATGAGACTTCATAAAAGGAGTTTTCCTTGATTTATTAGACATCTATATATATCTTAGTTAACATAGTGGTGTTGATATACTTCATATTGAGAATTCTCGGTTGATGAAGGTGTTTCAGAGATTTTGATAGAGCTCCAAAGGAAGCCGAGGAGTGAGGATGACTTCGAGTGGTTCGACCTTGGGCAAGGCAAGGCCCAAGCCCTCGGACATGTCCACCGGCATGCCCATTGGTGTTGATATATCAAACCCATGAAGCAGACGAGCGAGGGTCAGTTGAACCACTTGCAACCCAAACGTGACCGCAGGGCACATTCTTCTACCGGAGCTGAATGGGATGTACTCAAAACTCTGGCCCCTATAAGTAACATTGGCGTGTGCCTTGAGAAACCTTTCTGGTTGAAACTTGTAAGGATCGGACCACACCCGTGAGTCTCGGTGTAGCTGCCATAGGTTAACGATCAAACGTGTGCCCTTTGGGACGTAGTAACCACCTATGTAACAGTCTTCACTGGCCTCACGAGGTCCGGACAAGGGACCTGGTGGGTACAAACGGAGTGTTTCCTTCACTACGGCTTGTAGGTNTCGCCTCACGAGGTCCGGACAAGGGACCTGGAGGGTACAAACGGAGTGTTTCCTTCACTACGGCTTGTAGGTATGTTAGGTCTTTGATGTCTGATTCTTCCACCNCGTAGTAGCCACCTATGTAACAGTCTTCACTGGCCTCACGAGGTCCGGCCAAGGGACCTGGTGGGTACAAACGGAGTGTTTCCTTCACTACGGCTTGTAGGTATGTTAGGTCTTTGATGTCTGATTCTTCCACCCATCTGTCTTTGCCTATTCGGTCGTCCAGCTCATCTTGGGCAGTTTTCAACATCTGGCGGTTGCTCAATAGTAAAGAGACAGCCCATATTAGTGTGTCAGCTGTACTTTCCGAGCCAGTCATTATAAGAATCTGGAAAAAAAAAAAGTTACACAGAATATAAATTGGACATAATAATAAACTAAAGACAATAACGGTTAGGCCTAGTTAACGGTAGGCACGGTTAGGCCTAGTTACCGGTAACCATTGNTAATAAGAATCTGGAAAAAAAAAAAGGTACACAGAATATAAATTGGACATAATAATAAACTAAAGACAATAACGGTTAGGCCTAGTTAACGGTAGGCACGGTTAGGCCTAGTTACCGGTAACCATTGTACTGTAAAAATTGGACAAGTTCAATCTATGGTCATTGGAACCTAGTTTACATCATAAAAAATAGTATTTAAAAATTATTTTTGAGAAAAATTAATAAAAATTATTTTTAATATTTTTTATGTCTCAGAACTTATTTGATTATATAATTTCAAAAATAATTCTACAAAATAGAAAATATTAAACTTTCGTTGGACAATAACCTAGAAAATAATAAAAACAAAAATGTGATGGTGGTGAATGTCATGTTAGTGTTGGTGTNATTAAACTTTCGTTGGACAATAACCTAGAAAATAATAAAAATAAAAATGTGATGGTGGTGAATGTCATGTTAGTGTTGGTGTCGTTGGTGGTGTGGTGTAGTGGATGTGATGGTGGCGGAGTTTTTTAAATTCTAGAAATATTGTTTTCAAAAACACACAAAACAATTCTAACTTATTGTTTAATTCTACCCAATTTTCAAAAAAAAAAAAAAACTAGTCAAAAAGTTTTTCTTCCAAAAACTACTTTTAAAAATAGAAAAACAGTTTCTAAGATGCAAATCAAGCAAGACTTTGGTGTTTTAAAGGGGTTGATTTCATTTTAGTGAATAGTAGAACACCATCTCAAGGAACAAAGAACATCTAGGCTGCTAGTATTATATCATCTCAAAGACACACATCATGATATTTATAGATGCGATCCTAATTTATTTTCTAGTCAGATTCGTTTATAGGGAGCCATTTTACATAGTCAGCCAGCATAATCCAATTTCTCATATTGAAGTAGCATGTAGCAATATACATTACCAGGGTTGTTGCCTTGATGATGATATCACGTTTGTGGCCAGACATTGTGGCATCCTCTGGAAGGGTAGACAACATGACATCCATGAAGTCACCATCTCCATTAGTCTGATCACATTCTTTTCTCCTCTGAATATGTTCTTCCAGCCATTTTCCAGTGACTTTGTCAATTTCCTTAACAACCTTCTTCATAGCCTTGACATGCCCTCCAATATCCATCCACTCAAGACTTGGGATGAAATCGGACGCCACGAAAACACCACTATGATACAACGCTTTCTCTATGGATTCTTTGAGATGCAAATCTTCAGTATCGTTCTTGTTCTTCCCATCACTGCTAGCTGAAAATCGTTTCCCAGCTAGTAGTCTGATACTTATGTTCATGGTCAAGTCCTTCAACGATTTGTCTATGGCCACCTTGGTTTGAAGACTCGCATTTCTTGTGCACAAAAGGTAGAGATCTTTAATGGTGTAGTCCACTTCTGATGCTCGGACATGCTTAAACTTCTCTAGCCGGTGGTTCGTTAAGAGCTCTAGAGTGACCATTTTGCGAACATCACGCCAATATGGTCCGTAAGGCGCTAGTGCAAAAACAGCATAGTCATAGAAGCACTTCCCTACTGCCATAGTTGGTCGTGATGCAAAAACTATGTCATTTGTAGTGAAGCACTCTTTGATCATCTCCCAACTACTCACCACAAGTGCTTGGCGAGAACCGAGCCGGAGTGTGTAAATTGGACCATATTTGTCGGCCAGGGCGCCGAGTAGCCGCACAACGTGCACTTTGCCCCCTAGAAGATGGAGGTGACCGATAAAAGGCCATGCCCCGGCTACTTCAGGGGCTTCAATACGCTTACTATCACAACTATTCCCTTTACCTCTCGTTAAACCATAGGTGACAACTAAAGCTAAAATGCCTACAATAGCTAGAAAATGGGAAAGCAAATCCATATGGTTATGGGAAATGAAATTGAATTGTAATACATCTAAGCATACATATTTATAGTAAAGTGACCGTCGGGTAACTCCCCTTAGGTGGGTCTGAGTGTCATGTCGTGTTATTTTGTGTTTGTGTGGAGCACTAATCAATTTTAATTTTATCCGTTTAATTAATCGTATTATGACATGTCGTGTTGACTTATTTTTTTCTGTGTATAACTTGTGAATAAAAAATTTAACGTTCAATTTTATATCTTAATCAAACATATGTTCATAATTTTTTTATAAATTAAAATTTAATTTAATAAATATAATAATAACAATGAGTAAAAAAAAAAATTTGTACAAAAACTAAGTCAATAAAAATTGACATTTTATTTTTATAATACTATTTAAACATGTTAATCATATTAATTTTATGTTGTTCATGTTTAATATTAATCTAATTTATTTATTATTCATGTTTACGAATTGTGTCTTATGTGTCAAGAAATAATCAATTTTAACCTACTAATATTATCTCAATTTTAAATAATATTTTCATACTGTGTCAAGAATTACAACTGTAACGTCAGATTTAGTGGTGGAAGCCTAATTTCCAAGCTTGTTCGCATCTTTACGTTGATTTTTTGTCCTTGGTCCCGAGCAAAACCAATGAAACCGGACTAGATACAGTAAATTGGATGGTTAGATTCCCCTAGGCATGGATCGCATGGTCTGACTGTGACTTACATATGATAACGTTTGTTAACGTCTCTCTGACGTATCCATCGGTCCCATCCATGTGTTTTTGTGGTACGAAAAAATTCTAATAAATTAAAATAAAATAATAAATAAATAATTTTTACATGTGTTAAGTTTTTATTGAAAAAAAAAAAAAGAACTATGATACCAAAAAATTATCTTTAAATATCATTGTTCACTCCCACAATTTTCTGTTCGTTCTTTTCTCTGTAATGGCATACACAGAAAAATAGCTACCCACAAAAAAAAAAATTTGATATTATACTTCAATTTTTATCATATTTGTTATTATTTTTATCATTTTTATAATTATTTTTACTATTGTTGTGATACTCAAAAAATAATAAAAATAATTACTACAAGAGTGATAAAATTAACCACAATCACTAATGTTATAAATCATTAATAAAAAGTGAGTGATAAAATTAACCACAATAGTTGTAAAATCACTAATGTGATAAATCATCAATAAAAGTGGTAACTTTTTTTATCAAATAAAAGTGATAAAAATAGTTACCATAACAATGATAAATTTTTTGATTATACAATGACTGACAAATAATAAAGTGGCAAATTTTTTGATTGTAAAATGACCGACAAATGATAAAAATAATAAATTTTAGAGATGTGATACCAATTTTTTTTTTTTGGAAGTCCAAAATTTTGTATATGGTTTTTAGAAAAAATGATATGGCTAATCAGTATTTTTCATTTGAAAATGAAAGATGTTGATGAGCCCAAATGTCACTCGATCAGGCTCAATTAATGAGATAAGTTCACATTAGCTACAAAATAGGTAAGCTTATGGATTTGCCCTAATACAAAGTAAGTCATTCTGATCGAACCATTATATATTTTTGTGTTACCTATGTTGACTCAATTTCTGTCTTTTATAATTAATTTTTTCCTTAATTATTCTGCACCATCCCTTCGGCAGTTTAATTATACATAAATCCAATTTTGCGTATCATCATATGTGATGTTAGTGGATGCTAATTACCAAAATTTCAGCTCTATTGCGATTACTGATGTTTAGCCAACACTGATCGGTTTGAGAATCATCGACCACCCAACTAGCATCCCCAGCTTAAGACATCAAACCATACAAAGCGAAATCAGCAAGTTAACTTAACTGCACACAATCAAGGCAAGTAGGTACACAATTGCTGTGTTTTATGGGATAGCTCGTATAAAAGAGCAAAGTTCAGATTCGGTTCGAGCCCGGCTTTATTTACATTTATATGGTTATAACTATGCTAATGGTTATAAGTATCTATCATGATATATGCTTGTCCTAAGCTCAACTTCCTTAAGAACATTTTTAATAGAACATGTATAACTTTAAAATAGTTAAAACTTAGCTATTTAAAGATAAAAATGAGGCTCCAATAGAAGATATTCAGAGTAAGTAAAATACAACTTTGTTACAATAATATTCTATATTTAGAGCGTCACTGTAGCATCATGTATAAATAGTTTATAATATATTCTTCTTTATTTCTCTTTAAACAAATATTTTATATTACTTTATAATTTAAATATTCAATATTTTCATATTTTTAATATTCAATATTTTTATAATATTCTCTCTCTACTCCTCTTTAAGGTTTTCATATTTTTAATAAAAAAAATGAGAAATAAAAAAAAATGTCTTTAATTAAATGTTTAAAATATTTTAATATTTTTTATAATATCTTGATAATAATTTATAATATGTTGAGTAGCCATTAAAAAAATGATAGTTAAAAAATATAGTCGTTGGAAAAACTTGTTTGCTGAAAATGATAATTAAAATATAGTTCTTGAAAAGAAAATAAATAAAAATGAGAAATAAATTTTTAAAAAAATTATTAAAAATATAGAGAATCTGTTTGAATGTGTATTAAAAAAGTAAGTAGTTAAAAAATTAAAAAAAAAATAAACATTTAGATAATTAAAACATAAAATCTTGCTAGAGAAGCTCTAATGGTGCTCGTGTGTTGCGTGTTGATTTTTAATTTCCAAGTTCATTTTTTCTGGCTTCCAAGTTTCATGTTGATTATTAGAAAGAAGTTGTAAGCTGCGTTGATTGTTTTTTGTTTGATTGGGACGACTAATGAGGGTCAGGAATACCAAATGAGGAACACGAGTGAGCTTGTCACTGGGCCACCGGACAAGATTTCAGAGATTCACCTTGTTATATTTTTCCGGGGAATACGGGGTGGGTGGGCCAGAACCTATGTCTTACATTTGAATTTTGAAGTTATTATTGTTGCAATAATTGAACTACTTCTAGGAAAAAGCAGACCTTCATGGTATTACATCAGAAACGGCACATGTGTTTCTCATGTGATTGGTGTTGAATGAACTCATTGTAATGGCTGATCTCCTTCTCGGACTTATGAATTTCGATGATCATACACGAGAGATTTTCTGCAATAGATTAAGATAGATAGCAGTTGGTGAATTTGAAACAATCACAGGGTCAGAAAGGAGCTGAGTNAGGTACGAGAGATTTTCTGCGATAGATTAAGATAGCAGTTGGTGAATTTGAAACAATCACAGGATCAGAAAAGAGTTGGGTGAACACTCGACTTATTTCATCTGAAATTTAAGTTAGTACAGGATGGGAGGCTGAGTAGTGTATTTTTCTTATCTCAGTTTAATCTTGCATATTTTTGTTCATTTTTCTGAGTAGTGTTTTTACTTGAATTAGTAATGAGTGCAAAGACTTCAAGTCTCATCTGAACATTCAATGTCTGACACACTTACCCATAAGATCTGAGCGTTCTCCACCCAGATCTCCACATATTTAATGCTAGAATGATAGGATAAGTGTTCGGGGACATGCCGAGCACTTATGGCTATTTCCGAGCACTCAACTGTCTTTGATCGACGTCTGACACATACTACTGAGCATTCAATGACTGGGGAACAGTACCTCAGGGTACACCGAGAAGGTATGCTAGGCGCAAAAATCATTAATGTCTAGCCATCATGTCTGCAGGTTTAGGCTTTGATGATGCAAGGGTTCATTAATGGCTTAGTGTCAGTCACTCACATATCTATAAATGAGTGGTCAAGTCGTATTAAATGCGGATGTCAACTAGTATACTCGGCTCCTCTGAGTCATTATCTCTCGGTTCTACTCCCCGATGTCTTTTGAATTCCATAACGACTACAATTTTACACGTGTCGATCTGGGAGTTGCTGAGCTGCCTAAAGTTCCGTTAGATCACAATTTCGATGAATTTGTTCTATTCATAATATAACTATAATAATCAAACTACATAAATTCCTTCTGATTTGGGTGAGGATGGGATTTAATCCTAAATTTCTCCCACAAAAAATACTCACATATGCACATACACACACAAAGAGATACATTTAATTCCTTCTGATACTTGTGTTCATGATCAAGTCCTTCAACAATCGTTTCCTTGTTTGTTTAAACCTTTACGTTTTCTTTTTGTCTTTGGCCTTGTGAGATGCTCCAGGGCATGGCATGAATCACATGGTTGAACATCAACTGACTTTTTGACAACCTTGCTCCCCGGATTGTCAGATCCATGTATTTTTCACTAATAAATGATGGACAAAATAGTAGTAATAGATAACCGACAGCGACTTATGAGACAATACGGTCCACTTAATTTTTCGGTATCCTACCATTTAAACACAAAAATATAATAATATTTAAAAAATAATAATAATAATATTGTATATTAATATTTGACAAAAAATAATAATAATATACTCAACAAAAAATATTAACAATGAATATTGATATTTTCGAAAAATAAAATAAAATTCAATATTTATGATAACATGCTTATAAAAAAAAATGTATTGATACAACGTTGTCTTTTTCACAAAAATACACAATCAACTAAATTAAGACCCAAATCAAAACCTAGCTGATCAACTAACTAAATACACAAAGTACCAACTAGAAACAACATCGAAAGACCGATCCATTATAAGAAGTGAAAATTGTGACGAGCGTGAAAAGCGGCAAGAGTTTTTAAGAGGTTAAGTTGAAGAGGAGTTGCGACTATTACTGCTAAGAGGAGAAGGAGGATTTAATGCTTTGGTTAGGGTTTTGTTCGGGGGACTGATGGGGACAGAGGTGTATGAACGAAAAGAGTGGTTAAAGTTTCGGCAACAATATCTTTGTCCATGGTGGGAAAGAAAAAACTCAGAATTGTTGAAGAACAATTAGAATAATGTGGATCATGAATTTAAATTTTTAATTTTATGGTCAACTCTTATGAGCGTGAATTAAGGGA